GGCCTCGCTCTCCTAGCCTCATGTCACACAACTGAACGTCTCCACCTTACCCCATAAACCTCTCTGCACTCATTCACACCCAGGAAAAGCTCACTCTGAGCTCAGTGGCTCATTCACACCCAGGAAAAGCTCGCTCTGAGCTCAGTGGGTCCATGCCCTCAAAAGGAATGTGCCTGAACTGTCGAGTCCAAATTAAAATGTGACAGACTACTTCTAATCCCAAGGCTCAGAAGGCTGAGGGAGGATTAGGAGCTCAGGGCTAGCCTGAGCTACACAGATGAGACAGAGAAAGAGATGGGGCTGGGGCAGCTTGTAGGCAGTCTCCATGTTTTGTATCCACCAGTGGAAATATTTGCAGTAAGTACTGCGCCTGTGTGGATTCCTGGGGATCCCTGGGGTTCACTAGCTAGCCAGGTAGACTAGTGTCATGTTCCAGGCCAGTGAGAGATCTTGTCTGAATCGACCTCTCAGAATGACAGGCAGGAAGTTGTTCTCTGGCCTCTATATGTGTGCATGCGCACACAGGAACACATATACACATAAGAACACACACCCGCACAAACAGGAAAGGGGAAAGATCATTATTTTTTTTTCCTGATAAATCTAAAACTCCCCCTTTTAAAAAAAAATCTGAAAGTGTTCAGTGACTTCTTAGGAACACTGTTCCAGTTATGAAATTATGACTCAGCTCTGCTTGGTGGAACAGGACCATCTAAACTAAGAACTAACCACAGATTTCAGAACTGTAGCATCTCAACTCAACCAAATACTGTTTCTCTTGTGATAATAAAAGACAAATAATCTTAGCTTGGGAAAAACATAAAGAAAATATGGTTCCATTCTACTGTAACACTCTCACAGGAAGAAAGATGCAGTACAGCTTATTTGGGGCTTTTCTCCACAAGTTAGGAAGGCCTCATTACACATCCAAGTCCCTTCTGTAAGGCTGACCACTAACCAGAGGAAAGGGAGCCTAAAGGCTAGGAAACCTCAGATATTCCACAGAGACCCTGGAACAGGACAAAGCAACTAGAAACCAAAGTTTGCTTTGAGCTCCTCAGGGGCCAATTTTCTTTATACAAATTAATAAGCCTTACATCTTCCACATAAACATAGGAACATAGTGACTACAGACAGATAGAAAGACAGACACCCAGCAAAGCAGCCAGGTAAGTCCTGAAATCCAAGTCTTCTGAGTTTAGCCTTTATAACTTGAGTAGTGAATGGTTAAGATCAGTGTCCTCAGCCCTGGGGAGAAGGGTACAGTGAGGACATACTGGAGAACAAATGGGGGAGTCCAGACTGAGTCAACTACCCATGACAGGGCAGAAGCTCTGTGTTCCAAGGGAATAGGAATTGTGAGACAAATGTCTTTTCTCTGTGGCAAGGGACTTGGATGGGCATCTGATGAGAATCTCTAAATGCTGACAGAAACCACCATTGCTGCCCTCAGGTCTTCTGCCTACATTCTTCCCAAACTGCCACTAATATAATTGGTAATAGATCTTGCTTGTTATAGAGTCTGGGATTTTCCCCCATAAATCCAATAAAAGCAGTAGAGCTTTCATGAAGCAAAGTGAACCGCTTATTGGTTTTCCTGCCTCCCGAAAGACTTAGATTTGCCTTCTTTTTTTACAAGTGTTCATCTTTCATTAAAAGTTACATATAAAACGACTTCTTGGAGAGCTTCCAGCAAAATACACCATCAGAAACTCCCCTGTCAAGAGGCACGATTGTTGGCCCTTCTAGAAAATACAGTTGCCTTCTTGGCAGAACACAGTGTTGAAGATCTTCCACGGTCCCCTTGAGCTCCATGTCTGGAGCTCAACAAGTTCAGCACGTTCTTGTCAAGAGACTCATCAGGGAGAGGACAGTCTGGGCTCTATTTTGGAATGTACAGCCACTTCCAACATGGATGCCATAGAGGCTTATGCCCAGCCTCGATGCTGACACCCCAGAGCTGACTTGCTGAGGGAACAGGAATTGCGAGACCATTTGTCATTTCTCTGCTGTATGAGGCTTGGATGGGCATCTTCCAGGGAATCTCTAAATGCTGATAGAAACCGCCATTTTGGCCCTCAGGTCTTCTGCCCACTACCCACCTTCTCCTCAAACTGCCACTAACACAATTGTTAACAGAGCTTGCTTATTACTGGGGCCTGGGATTTTTACCCATAAGTCGAATTAAAGCAGTCACCCTCTGCCGTTTGCTATGTGCTGCTTCTGGGGTCCTCTTCCTTTTTAGGAGAACAGGCACTGTTCCTGCTTTCTAATCAGTGTGCTCTTTGGCTTCTGTGACATCATCTGTGGGATATTTTTTAGCTCCATTTTTAATTTCTTTGCCAGATCTTAAGAATACATCTTCTGCTTGTCATGGTGTTGCACACCTTTAGCTCTAGCATAGGAAAGGCTGAGGCAGGCAGATCTCTGAGTTGAGGCCAGCCTGGTCTACAGAGATAGTTCCAGGGTAGCCAGGACTACACAAAGAAACCTGGTCAAAAAGAATTCATCTTTTGCCTGGCATGGTGTTGTATGCCTTTAGTCCCAGCACCTGGGAGCCAGAGGCAGGTAAATCTCTATGAATTCCAGGTCAGCCAGAATGACATAGTGAAACCTGTCTCAAAAAAAAAAAAAAAGAATGTTTCTTCCAACCAGATGTAATAGCCCACATCTGTACACTTGGCACTCAGAAGGCTGAGGCAGGAGGATTACTAGTTCAAAGCCTGCCTGGACTGTACAGTGAAACCCTGTCCTAAAAATGGTGGGGTTTGGGATTCATCTTCCCCTGGAGATGTGGTCCATTTTAACCCTTGCTGCACCCTAAGACACCCCACCTGCATCTCTCCCTGTAGTCACACTTCCAACATCTGAGGCTCATCTCTCGTTTCTTCCTGGTTAGCATGCTGACTGTGTAAAGGCGTCTCTGTGTGTCTTTGCAAAAGCACGCTCCCCTTGGGCATTGCTGTTTCTGCTAATGGCCACTTCATCTGTGGCACCCTCACACTCATGCATTTGCTATGACGTCACAGAGAGCCTCTTGACTCTTCCACCTTGGTTAAGGGGCTCCTCCCCCTGTTATCCACACTTCTACTTCAATCCATATAGAGTCTGCCCTCTGGATTTTACAGCAGCTTCTTACGTCCCTCGCTTCCTCATCTTCAGTACACCTTTCTTACGTCACTCCCTACTTAACAGCCTTCCAAATCTACTCTATCACCATCCTTTCCTAACAATTACCTAACCTACCGTAAAGTTCTCATTTAAAGGTGTACGAGACTTTGCTCTTAGAACAGCCCCCCATTGTCTTCTTTTTGCCACTCAGATGATTATCCCTCTAGAGCCAGCCCCCTAGTAGATAATCAGGCTTGATGAATGAGTAACTTTATTAATTAATACCTGCCTTACCCTTTCCTTGAAGGTGAACCTTTCCATGTTTGCCATTCCAGAAGTATTCTGTTCCCATCACCATTGCTACATGTGTCAGCCTTGGCTGTACCTTATGGCCAACTCAGAATGCATGCTCTGTGAGCAGAGATGTGCTCCTTTGCTGCCTCCCCCCTTCCTCCCAGGAAGCATCTTGCCCAGCCTTGTTTCCCACTTAGATCCTCCTCAGCAGGGCACTCACTGAGGTGGCCAATTCCAGCAGTGACCTTCACTCGAAATTTCACATCCCTGAAATGGACTCTGAGGTTTTCCATCAAGTAGCGGAGTGGGCTGCCCAAAATAACCACCCAACAAATAACAAATGGGTGTTCGTTTTTCTTAATACTAAATAAAATATTGGTATTTTCATCTTAATGTAGCTATCTATTGTTTCAGGTTACAAATAGGTCTGGCCAGGGAAAAAATACTCATGGAAAGAGATGAGGGAGGTGATTGGCTGAAATCCATTGTTACGCTTTGCAAAGAGTTCTTCACACTCAATTCAGTCAACAGAGTGATTGCCTGTGCTACCCCAGCCTCCTCTATTCATAAATTCAGCCACTGCTTTGCCTTAAAACCAGCAAACAGTGTGTGATCTCTTCTAGCCTTGCCTTTGATTTGTCTTGCACATTTTCCAGACGCGGATAGGAAAAACATTCAGAATATGAAAGCATATAATGTTATATTCCATTTTTCTAGAATGACTTAGATTTGGGCCATTGCAAAAGAAAACTGGCAAGTCTAGGTAATTTTAAAACTAGTTTAAAATCATTTCAAGAGAGTCTCTCTTCATTGCCTGGGAACAACACATTTCAAATAATATTCTTAGTAAATTCCTTCATCTCTGAAACAGATATGGCAGCTCTCACAAAAGATGCTGTGTCAGGACAACGAAGACAATGTAAAAGATCTCTTCCAGGGGTCAAAAGAAGACCTCTTCCAGGGGTCAAAAAAAAAGACTTCTGCTGGGTCATAAAAAGACCTCTTCTGGGGGGGTCAAAAAAGACCTTTTCCGGGGTCAAAAAAAAACCTCTTCTAGAGTCAAAAAAAGATTTCTGGAGCTCAAAAGAAAGGCCTCTTCCAGGAGTCAAACAAGAGATGCAATAGTCACCACCACCGAGTCCAGTGAGTTTCAGTCACCCATTAAAAGCCTTTTAAAATTCTGGTCACATTTCAGAAATTTTTAATGGAATAGTGAGTGACATACATAAACTTTAAAAGTTCCTGTCCTTTCCCCAAGTGCCCTGATGTAGAGGGCTGGCTGTCTAAGGTGCAAAGCAGACCTTTCTTGCACGGTAGTCCTAAGGCTCTGCAGCTCTGTAAACAGGAAGTTGAGATAACAGAGAAAGAGAAACAGAGGCAGGACCAGCAAAAGCTTGCAGCAGTTTCTGAAGTAACAGTCTCGCTGTATCTGCTGCAGTCTGTGAAACCTGCTCTTACTGTGGCTCCCTTTACTTTTTTAACGAACTTACCCTGTTGATGAATTGTTGAAATGGTTGCTTTTTTTTTTCTCACACCCTCTCGTGTGTTTTCTCTCCTATTCTGTCCCCACCTGGCTTGTGTGGAAAATCTGTCAGGCTAACTGTCAGGTAAGTCCGTCTTCATGTTTAATGTGATGATTAAGGGTATGCATGGAGGAATATGGAGAAAGCAAGACTGTTGGTGACCAGTGACAAACGACGGGGCTAAGCAGGACAGCATAGACTGGATTACACAGAACCCTTTTGCAGCTGTGTAAATGGCAGAAGCTGCCCACCCCGCATGGGAAGCCAATGGGAGCATCTGTCCTAAGAGCTTAGCCTGCAGGAAGATGGCCGAGCTGTAGGATGAAATCGCTCACCTGTCCTTTCTAGCGATTTTTTGCTGTGACTCTAAAGAAGGGCTGCTCCTGAAAGTCTTAGCTGTTATCAAGCAGTATGAAATCCTGAGTGGTCCTATGTGATGCCGCTATAAATATTACATCTGCTGCTGGGATTTGGCCAGGATCAAGGAAAATTTTTCAGGGATGCATTTTAAATCCCTGTTCCGAGTCCGCATCTGAATATTTCCCATGCCTTGAAGAATGACAGTGGCTAGGACGAAGGAACAGCGGTGCCATATATTTTGTTGCTGTCAAAATGCGCCATTGGTGTCATTGGTATTAAATGATGTGACTTAAGTCTTCTCAAGGAAACAGACAGAATTCACTAACCTCCTGCTGATGTTGAGGGAAAGGGGTGCTTTCATAAGGAGTAGTAGGACCAACAGATACTTTATAAGCCCAAAGATGGCTAATGGCAAGAGAGACAGCCATTTAAATCTGATAGTGTTGTGTGTGTGTGTGTGTGTGTGTGTGTGTGTGTGTGTTAGCATCAGTTCATTTTTATCTTTCAAGAGGGGAAAAAAAAGACGCGATGTGCTTCTGTTGCCATGCAACAGCACACTGTTCTAACAGCATTCTAATTTTAATTTCAGAAGTCTACAGAGCAAATGAAGAAAGTCCCCACCATCATTCTTTCCGTCTCATATAAAGGAGTCAAATTTATCGATGCGGCAAATAAGGTAGGTGCCTGACCTCTCTTTGGTCCAAGTTGCAGCCATAGTCCTGAGTATGAGAATTTAAGATCCTGGCACGCCCCCTTTTGTCACTCTCCCCGCCCCCCACCCCACCCCATGCTTCCTGTTCATACCTATAGCTGCAAATGCACACCCGTGTATCCACTTAGACACAGATAAAGACATGATTCATTTGGGGTCTTGATCTAGGATTGTCATACATTTTAGTGCTTACATTTCAGTGTCCTCTCTAGTAGACAGGGATCACTTAACAGCCATGTCCCTTTGGAGCTAGAGGATCCTGAGACAACAGGAGCAGCAAATCACTCATTAAAGGCACAGGGTCATTCCTTCACCAGAAGAATTAGAATAAATGAGACTAGATGAAGGATGAGGACATTGGTCTATGTGTTGTTCTTTAAAATAAATAAATTTTACACACACACACACAATTTCTTCCCTTTAGAAGCTATACTTCATCTTAGGCAAAAAGCCAGGAAGTGGTTGTCCCCTCTTTCGGTACAGGTCGTGAATACCTGGTGTAAGGAAGGAGCACACTCTGACATTTTATATTCTATAACCGCCTTTCATTCCCAGCTACTGGAGTGAAGAGAGTTGCTACTGTTTGTTTTCTTAACAGACTCAGTCAGGAAAGCAGCTGAGGACATGCTGTGTCCTTGTGCTCACAGCGGGAATGCTTAGCAGCTCTGAGGTCCAATGTGGCCAAGCGGGTTTGTGTTTGACTTAAGATCGGCTTAGCATTCCCTTCTGAGCCAAGACCACAGAATCCTGGACAACCTAGAGAGCTTAGGTGTGGCCACTGTAATAGTTGAAGGAGCTGACTGGCTTCTCACAAAACCCTGAAGGTCTGTTGGAGTGTTTTACTCTCCAGTCCTTTCACTTGATAAAGGGAGAGATGGGGTGATGACCATTTGTAAGTAGTGTTTGTCTTCTGCATCAGTCACCCTGGTCTTGCCCCCAGACGCACTCCATTTTGAAGAAATGGAAAGGAGAATCAGGAAACCAGTCAACTTCAGCAGTGGTGACAGGGAGCCAAAGCAACTAGATGGCAACATCAGGGGAAAGTCCCATGGACGGTGACCCTCTAATGTCTGTAACTTTAAGCATCTGAATCAAACTTTTAGAAATTTTCCTGATGACTTTTCTTTAAAATGTTGCATTGGCAGTTGGATAAGCCACCATATATGCTATGGAAAACAACCTCCCAGTTTGGAGGAAGATTCTAGAACTGAGGTAGAAAGCCTGTAACACAGCATCATCATGATGGCTCACAGTAATCAAAGTAATATTAAGTGCATTATGTTTAATGATGGCTCAGCTGTGCAGTATGTTGTTGGCTGTTATTATGTCAGATTACACAGTTGCAGAGACTCAAATCAGAACAACCCTTGATTGGCTTTTCTATTTCTTGGAGAATTTAGTTTCTGCTACTTAAAATTGCCTTACCCTTAATTCAGAGTCGCTTAAAGAGTTCTTCAGTTGGAATGTTCATTGATGGTATCGTTGTATCCGGTGTGAAAGGAAGGTATCTTAGGGTTTCTATTACTGTAAAGAAACACCATGACCAAGGCAACTCTTATAAAAACAACATTTAATTGGCGCTGGCTTACAGGTTCAGAGGTTCAGTCCATTATCATCAAGGCAGGAGCATGGCAGCATCCAGGCTGATTTGAGGCTGGAGGAGCCTGAAGTTCTATACCTTGATCCAAAGGCAGACAGGAGAAGACTGTCTACCAAGTAGTTAGGAGAAGGGACTCAAAGCCCACCATAGTGACACAATTCCTCTAACAAGGCCACACCTCCTAATAGTGCTATTCCCTGGGCCAAGCATATTCAAACCACCACAGAAGGCTTTGGCACTTAAACCCTCCCCCAACAAACACACACACACACACACCTTACCCTAAAATCTGAAACAACTCCCTCCCCCTGTTGAATTTGAAAAACTTGAAGAGCAATGTTGAGTTTGACGCTCCCTGAGCTGAGTTGGATTCTGACCATTTCTGAACATGAGCGGTTTACTCTTGGATGTTGCTATAGCCTAAAGGGTCATGTCTGTCATTCAGTGGTGTCATAACCCACCTGCATCTGCATTGATTACATCCTCTCTGACGAGACCCCCACCATTAGAACAGACACATAGAGGGCTGTAGACTCAATACCTCTTGACTGTATCTCTTGAGAGATTTCTGACTCAGTCACCAGTGACTGCGTAGACCCTTACCGACATCTTTGAAAGCATAAGCACAGAAAAATATGTGCAAAAGATAATTACGTATAAAAAAAGACCCTGAATAAAGACATCCTGAGTATCTTTCAGGTCCTTGCATTGTGGCCTGTGACCCATTTTCAGGTTCAGGAGCAAAGGCACAGTATGTCTGGTGGCAGTGGTACCAAGGCATCTATGACTATCTCAACACATACCTGGCTCTCTAAAGAGCTGGAGGACGTTTACTTCAACTGGCTGTGTAATTGCTCCTCCCAACATGTCAATGTGGAAAGAGACTGGGTCACTCAAGTCTAACAGTTGCTGTGTGAGAAGCTGAAGTAGAGAGTGGTCAAGGAGACAGAAAACCAAGTCTAAGGCTCCTTTGAGAGCTGAAAAGCATGAGCAAGGCTGAGGGCTGGCCTCAGAAGACTTGAAGACTGTGCCAGAAGGAAGAAGAGGTGCTGCTTTGGATTATCCCCCGCTGGGACGTATGGTCCTGGTGGGCCACACTGCCCTGAAGGATTTGTAGATAGAAGTGTATGTGAGGACCTCATCATTCCAGGCACTTTGGGCGCAGAGCCTGTGCTAAGACGCACACACCTTAGTGTGCTTCCAGTGTACTTGATTCATCACCGTGTGTCCCTCTGCCTCCCACAGGTATGATGGACATGGTTGTCCAAGCCACACAGACATGTCCCTGTCCTTTGACCAATGTCTGCCCATAGACATGGCCTGTTTGTCATGAATTTTTTCCACTGCCTAACCTAATACTACTTCTATTACTTCACAGCTACCTTCTATCAATTAGTTTAAAGAACACTGGGTAATTAATTATTACATGTTAATTATCCTTCCTTTCCTATTAGCCCCTATTAGGAAGATAACCCCTCCAATGAAACATTTCTTTTCTAGTCAATGGAGAACTCTGAATTTGTGGGGAAGGGCCAGATGCCTAGTTATAAACACATAGCTGTATTGCCTAGCAACTTAGGAGACTAATCACTAAGCCTGACTTAAGAAGGAAGGAGCAAAGGAGATCTTGCATTTGAAATGAAGCATTGGAATAGATTTAATCCTAAAATGTTTTAAAGAAATTGCATCTACTTTCATAGATCAGCAGCCCAGAGTCACCTTCTGCAGGGACCTGGCCACAAGGACTCCAGCTATTTGTTTATTGACCTTTCTTGAGATTAGCAGGGTCTTCCAAGAGGTGACCCCATTCCAACATCTAGGAATCCAGGAATGACGTAGGCCTGAATCACGTTTACCCTCCCCAGCTTTTTCAGCCTACGGTTGCACTGGAAAGAATATCAGTGTGGAGTCTTTTTCACTTTAGCTTGTGTGTTTTTTTTTTATTTTGAATGACAATTTCAAACATGGCAATAAGTGCTCATTGTTTTCACTTATAAGCAGCTGGAAATCCCATGAGACCACAGTTGGTGTGCAGTGCAGTCTTCAGCATGGGACACCTGTTCATGGGCATCTCCAGTTCTCTCAGAGCACTGCCTGTATCCTGGTCCTTCTCTAGGGGGATCATTTCAGTTCCTTGATGCAAAAGAGTCTAGCCTAAGGAAGTGGTCAGGAGAAGCTCTCTGTTGTAGGGTAAAGATGAAGGGTGTGGCGAGGGGCAGATTCCTAGGCTGCATCCCTTTGGAATCTCACCCCTTCCTTTGAATTGTCATATTAAGTAGCTGGACCAAACAATTTAGTTCCACACCCACCAGGCCAAAGACATCTGTACCTGTTTTTCTACATGATGAGAGGTGGCAGTCAAGCAGAAGTTGATAGGCATAAAGTTGTCAAGCCCTACCCAAAGGAGAGTAGATAAGGCCTTCCCCAGCCCTTTTCATGAGCCTTGGGCAAGCTCTGCCTTCTTTAGAACAAATATTCTTAGACATGAAAGCTAGCAATGTGTACAAGATTCTGATCTTACAAGGAGCTACAGACAGCACCGTATGATAACATCACTCATGATAACTCATCTTTTAATGTATTGAGTAGCCAGAAATTGATGCATGACTGAAGGGAGAAGAAGGCTCTCTCCTTTGAGTCTTCCCCAAAGAGTGAGTTGACTATCCAGTCTTCACACAGTCATAGAGCAGCTGCAGAATCCATGGACCCATTCCACAGAAAGACAACTGGCCCCCTCATCCTCAGAAATGGACGATAATGAGGGAGGCAGTATCTCCACTCAGACATCCCAATCCTCACCACGGTCTACCGAAGATATTCTCACAAAGGTCTGTGAATATATTCCTGCCTGACTGTAGACCATCTTAATGGTATTGCTTTCCTCCTAGCCAAGACATTTTCAGCAGTGAGGCAAGATGATGTTTGTATGATCACAGATACCTCAAAGAAGCAGGAAAGCCAACCGTGAGCCTGGGACGGGCTTCAGTGATACAACATTAGCCAAGAGTGTGAGGCATACACTGGGCTCCATTCTCCATGCTAGACCTGGCTTCCTGGGGACAAGAAGGAAAAGACCTCCAGAAAAACCCTAGGACAGTTCAGAGGACAGAGGAGGACAGAGCACTGGAGAACCAATTTCCCTGCTTTGTGGTTTGGCACAGAACCACACCACTGTGGAAATGAATTGTCAAGAGCCAGAAGATTAAGTGCAGCAAACCACATAGAGTGCTTGTAGCATTTCCCTTATGCTGGCAAATAAATGTCTTCAAGGATGCAAATGGCAGCTTAAAGCTAGAGCCAGTATTTACTGGCTGGTTGTAGCTTCTGGGGCAGGTGTTTTAGCTACTTGACTAGCTGTTCTGACAAAATGCAAGATAGAAGCAAGATGGAGAGAGGGTTTATCTTGGCTCAGGTTCAGGTTGCCGTCAACCATTGCAGGAAAGTCACAGGGAAGATCCCTTGAGGCAGCTGGTCACATTACATACAGTAAGGAAGCAGAGAGCAGCATATATTATACCCGACTCCAGCGCTCTCTTTCATTCAGTCTAGGAATGGACCCGTGGATTGGTGCTGTCCACAGTGGGCAAGCCTTCCCACTAGAATGCACAGTAATCAAGATAAACCCCCACCAGCGTGCCCAGAAATGCTTATCCCAAGTGAGCCTAGATTCCATCACTAACTAGATTAACAATATTAACCATCACATCAGGTGAAGTCACTCAGCCCAGAGTTCTGGAGTCCAACAACCACAATCCAGTGATGGCCAAGCCTCCCTGAACCTGGTAACACAGCACCTTCAAAGGCTGCACAGACCATAAAATTCCTTCTAAAGGCTCACGGGTTCCTAATTTAGTGTTCTGTTTAAAGAAATGCTACCTGAGTGTAGGAAGACGACCGTGACTTTGTATATTGAAGCTATCTGGCAGTAGAATGTTACTTGTTTATGATTTCCAATTTCAATCTGAGTTATTTTTGACAGAGCAGCTGCACACAGTGTCAGCATTCAAGGCCGCGGTGAGGAATGTCTTAATTTAATTGTCTTTTATGTGTTAATTCTGTAATTGCTTTGCAACCACAGAGCTTGGTAGAGTGAGGGACATGAAGTACTCACCGAGGGTGCTGGCAGGGAAGGACATTTTCTAAGTGTTTTCAAGCATTGATGAGTAGACGCGGAACACTGTATTGCCAACGGGTTCTTTAAGACACGCAATTAAAAAGTAATTAGGGTAACTGAAGCATTGGGGGGTTTATATCTGTGACAACTGCAAAAGACATGTGAGAAATTATAAGATTTTTTTAAAAAAAGAAAAAAAGATTGTATTATTATAGGGCTTTTTAAATGCATCTATGTATCAAAAGAGATTTCCAGCAGGTTTTGCAGCAAAGATGATGCTCTCTGGTTAAGCTGCAGGACAACGGCCCAAAACTGTCCCTCCCACCAGTTATTTTCAAAGGCTAGGAGGGAGAAGACATGAAAAATGCAGTTCTGTCCAAACAGAGAGGAGAGAATACGAAAAGCATTACAGTGAGCTCAAAAGCCTATCAGCTCTCCAAAGAACTACAGACCTCAGCCCCGGCTTTACATCTTCCGTGTGTGAGGCACACACCTGTAAGATAGTGGCACACACGAACACACACACACATACCATTATTCTGTCTTGGGTCTAGGAAGGATAGAGATATCCTATCCATAGGTCCTTGCATCCAGCAAGGCACCTGAAGCCTGAATATCCCACTGTAGTGTTTCTCTGGCCTGCAGTCACCAGAGAACCTTGAGGAGAGAGGATAGCACTGGGGCTTCTCCTTCTGCTTTGTTTTGAACCCACCCTTACTATGGGAGTACTTCTCCAATACAACCAAAGGCCGGTTCGATCCCAACACCCAAGAACAAAGAACAGGAGTGGGGACAAACAGCCTCGAAGGATCTGGACAGCCTCCTTCGGTCACAGCTCCCCTCATGCATGCAAGTGACAAGTGATCGCTCCCAGACAGGATTAGCAGCAGGCAAGACTGCACATCTACAGCTGGACATGGAAAATAGAAATGGGAAATGCTTAGTAATTACTGTCACCCAGACTGCTTCCATGCACAGCACCTGGAAAGAGCCATTGATCCAGGATATGACTATTTTAGGTTGTTGTTGGTGGTGATGATGATGATGATGATGAGGAGGAGGAGGAGGAGGAGGAGGATTGAATGAAAATATTCCTTCCAGACCTAGTGTACATTTACTCACGGACATCCCATTGAATCACTTTGAATATTGCTGGTCTAGAACCTTCTAGAGAAAAGAAAAGTGACTGGCTCCCAGATTACCTGTCCTGATTCTAAAATGTGCTGATTCTCAACGGGAAGCAATGATCAATTGTGTCATTTCTTCTAGAACATAATCGCCGAACATGAAATTCGTAATATCTCCTGTGCTGCCCAGGACCCAGAAGACCTCTCGACATTTGCTTATATCACAAAAGATTTGAAGTCCAATCACCACTACTGTCACGTGTTTACTGCCTTTGATGTGGTGAGTTCCCAAGCTCTTTGGATGGATGGATGGATAGATGGATGGATAGATGGATGGATGGATGGATGGATGGATAGATAGATAGATAGATAGATAGATAGATAGATAGATATAGACAGACAGACAGACAGATCAGTTTGCTCAGGCTGCCATGACAAAACACTGCCGTCTACATAGTTTAACCAATAGGAATTTACTCCCTGTGTTTTTGGAGGGCCTAAATCCAAGACCAGCATTACAGTAAGCCTGGTTTCTTCTGCGCCTGCTCTCCCTCCAACATGTAAATAGTCACCTTCTCATCAGGTTGCGTCTGTGGTCTCCTTGTGCACAGAGACGCCTATGTCCAGATTCTCTCCTCTTTCGAGGAGGCCAGTCAGCCTGAACTAGAGCCCACACTAATTACCTGTATTAACTCGGTCTTCTGCAAAGTTCTGCCTTCCAATCCCATCACACTTGAGTCTACTAGAGATTAGATCTCCAAATGGGATTTTCTAGGTGATCACAATCCAACCCCTAAAGCCATAAAGAAGTATTTTGGCAGGCTTAGCTTGCTTGAGCTTCCTGCTTGGTCAGTTTCTCCTTCAAGTTGGAATGCTATACTTTTCTGATCTCTCAGCTGTTGATACTCAGCTCTCAACCTCCCCTTTTCCAATCTGAGAAATCCTTTCCCTCTTCTGGTGCCAAAAATACAGGAAGATCTTCCAGCCTTCTGCCCTACATTAGCTTTGCATGCTTCTCCTGTGGCCATTTCTAAGTATTAGGCGTGATAAATATGTTTACCTCTGTAATATTCAGCTTTCTTTATTGACTAGTAGTTAGATTAGATACTATACAAGTAACAGTTGGGAGCCCCAAAGTTTGGCCTGCATGTTCACTTCAGAGTAGGTCTTAAAACAACTTCCTTGAGGCATTGACACCATGCATAGCTGTACTTGTCGTTAAGCCTGAAAACTGGGTTATTACAGCCTTCAAAAATTAGAACAAAATTAAATGACATTAAAACAAAAATGTAACAGTACATGTTCCCTTAAGATAGGCCTACCTTCAAGATGACACAAGTTGCCCGACTATAGCTCCGAGATAGATTCCTAGGTGTTCTGCACTTTAAGCAGATAGAACAGATGTGGCTATGAGCCCCATATAATTTACAATCAGAAATATTTGAAATCCCACATTTTGGGAATTCCAGGATGGTTCAGTGTGGCAGGTACAAGAATATTCGATGTAAGGCATTTTTTCCAGTTCTAACAAACTCCTCAGACCATGTCACAAATTTACACCATGCTAAGGACTGTCAGCCAGGCTTACACTTAATAACCTTTATATCTTGCTGTGTGTCACTCAATCCTGTAGGTCTTGATGACTGAAAAATGCAAAGGATGCATGTGGGCTTTTAAAATACCCACTCTGATTCAGGAGAGGCAAGGAGAATAATACAAAACTGGTGTGTGGTCAGGACTGCAGAGCAAAACTCTCCGAGGCTGCCTTAAGCATCTCTAAATTCAATTGTTTGCACAGACTTAAAGCACTGATTAAAGTCATTCCATTTGGGATTTGCAGGATATGCAATATTGCATTGATGCCGAGAATGTACTTGTCACTTGCCATTCTTGGGAAACTCTGTTGTTTCTTTAAAATAGTCAGATTTCATTCTTTCTGCAAGGAGTTTGGTTTTCATCACACGCCTTCCTCTATGAGAGCTGGACAGGTGGTATAGAAAGAACTGGCAAATTCTGGTTCACACCCCAGCCCAGCTACTTCCTTGTTCCCCAGTCTTAGCCTTTGAAATCCCAATTTCCTGATGGGTAAAATGGAGGCATGGATTTATGTCCCATGGCTTTTCATCAGGACTGAAATGAAAGAATGTGTGTAGAACCCTTCACAAATAAGGGAATTTGGTATTGGCTGGCTCCTCCCCTACCCTGTCCCTGCTGACTGACATCAGCCGACAGCTCATCCCTTTTCTGCTAAATGAGGAGATCGGTACTTTCCCTCTGCCACTGGAAAAATAGACACAAATAAAAACTGAAGTAGAAAACACTGGACAGAGCATCCTGGCTCACCAGACCTCAGGGCCCCTCTGCTGCTTTTATCACCTCATGGTACTGTCGGAGGCTTCTCCAGCCTTTCCCCCAAGAGGTGCATCACTTTCAAAAAGAGAATTGCATTATTAAGATTCTCTATGATTTCCTTTCACAAGACTACCAAAGGCTAAACTAAAACCAGCACCTGTGGACATTTGACCCCATGGTGTCACCACAATGAGGCGCTGAAACAGAAGGACAGGTTGGGGTAGGGGGATAATCACTGAACAATGTGTCTTGATAAATTTGGAGGATGCGTGGCCCAACCGCTACAGCTTTTTATCTTCCATCCAGATGTTGGACTTAACGTAGACACTCAGAAGCTGGGCATTCTTGGATCTGCTCCAAAGGATTTTCCTTTTACACAAATCTGGCTTTTTAATCCCCTCTAAGTGAACAAATACAATTTGTCTACCTTCAAAAATAGTAACAAAGGCTATCTGCCTTCACCTGGACCCTTGAGCAATTCTGAGACACAACAGCTTTGCTTGCTAGGAAAGCAAAAGAAAAGGTTTCTTTGTATCTTTATGTAGGGCAATTCCATATTTCAGTCCGGATCTTAAGGCTTTACAGTTCATTTGAGGCAGTCCCCTGGGTTACCCCAGATGACAAAAGAAAGTAACAAATTCTGTGTAACACTGCAAGTGCATATTTAACCTTCTAGGTGGTCTGAATGAGTGGTTTGTTTTCCAGTTTAAGATTACAGCTCTTTGACCTTGTAGACCTTTGAAGGGTAGCACACTTTTACATAGTGTTATATACCATCTGGTTTTATCTGCCTTCAAGAAGACCTCAGTGATGTGTAGGAATTGGAACATTTCCCATAGAAATCCTGTGGCCTAAGAGGAGAGTACACAGCTTTCCTGTGGAAACTAGACTGAGTTGTGCACAGTTTGTGTCCTAGGGGACACTGTGGCGCACTGGATGCATGCAGGTTGGTAGGGAAGGAGTGGAGTGTGCTGTTTCTCAGGCTCACCTGGTCCTGGAGGCCACTCTGGAGAGCGCTTCACTGCAGTGGTACATTTGGTTTAGAGAGTGTTACATTGGGTGATTGCCAAGCCTCTTTCTGTTATCCACATGAAAATTTACCCTTTAATATTTTCACTTTCCAATGACACGGAGGTAAAAATAAAAAGGATAGAGGAAAACGAATGAAGGTTATAGATCAGTTGCTTTTGTCATTGCTCTGATTTAAAAAAAAAAACAGCTTAGGGAATGAAGGGTTCACCTCTGCTTACAGTATGCTGTGGCAGAGAAAAGATGGTATCAAAAGATGCTGGTCTCATGGCATCTGCCATCAGAAATAACAAAGCAGTGGATGCTTTTCTTAACTGATGTTCCCCCACCCCATTTTCTGGCTTTTATGATGTCTATGATGTTTCATAGAGCCCAGTCTATGAAATGGTATGATTCACATTCAGGGTGAGTATTCCCTTCTCTGTTAAAGCGATCCAGAAACACCCTCATAGACTCAACCCAGAGATGTGTCTCCTTACGTGGATCTAAATTCAGTTGAGTTGACAGCAAAGATTCATCACCATAGACTGCTGTTTTAAGTTAGTTCGCTCCTATGGGTCAGCAGCACCAAGCCCACCCTGTGTCCACAGTACTGTAGAATCTGATTTCTGTTCATCTCACGTCTCACTGGCTGGCTAGACCTAGAACCTGTCTCAGTCTCTGTAGCTCGGATTTCCCAGGCTCTAGCTGAGCAGTGACATTTTAGAGGGAGGAGCAGCAGGGTTATGGTAGGAAAAAAGGATGTGTTTGAGGATAAGAAGTCTGAGACTTACAAGTATATTTAACTTTATCTCTTTATCTCATAACCTCCATGAGGGATGGAGAACTCTACAATTGTGGCCACGAACTCCCCAAAATATGGTCATCTTCCTGAGAAGGCTCCTGGGAGTAGGCAACACATACAACCAAGGGAATCTGGTGACTCGTCCTCTCTGGTTCGCTCAGTAGTGAGTCGGTATGGGGAGATTAGATTGCAACATGTTGATACATTCATTCCCTATGGGAGTAACAGATGCGCTTTAGGAGTCTGGGAAGGACTTCATTCAATAGTTTTAACTGTTAAAATACTTCCTTTTGAGCTGGGCAGTGGTAGCGCACACCTTTAATCCCAGCACTTGGGAGGCAGAGGCAGGCAGATTTCTGAGTTCGAGGCCAGCCTGGTCTACAGAGTGACTTCCAGGACAGCCAGGGCTGAGAACCTGAAGCCCTAAACCAGAGAAACCCTGTCTCGAAAAACCAAAGGGGGGAAAAACCCACTTCCTTTTGCCAGACTAGGCATTGAACTCAGATCCTTGTGCATGCTAAGTAGGCACTCTACCACTGAGCTATATACTCAAGCCTTAAAAAAGAAAGAAAGAAAGAAAGAAAGAAAGAGAGAAAGAGAGAAAGAGAGAAAGAGAGAATGAAAGGAGCATTAAGAAGCTTTACCTTTTCTGCTAAACCAACAGGTTCTCAGCCTGTGGGTTTTGACCCCTTGGGGGGGGAATCTAACGACCCTTTGACAGGGATCAAATATCATATATCCTGTATATCAGATATTTACATTATGAGTTATAGCAGTAGCAAAATTACAGTCATGAAGTAGCAACGAAAACAATTTTATGGTTGGAGGTCGCCACAACATGAGGAACTGTATTAAAGGGTCACAGTACTAGGAAGGTTGAGAACCACCGAGCTAGACCCTTGCTAATTCTTAGTTCTCTATAAAGAACATGTTTGCATCTTCTGATATACTTATGTATGCTTATTCTTCACTTTCTTGTAATTCTGCAGCTCTGTGTCCTTCTGTGTTCAATATGTGGTAGGGGTGAGGTTGGCTTAGGAATACGTAGGGAATATTGAAGCCCTAGTGCTGAAAACCAGCACACGCGGGAGACAGAGCTCTCTCTTCCCTGAGAT